GTTTTTGTTATAATAAGAGTTAAAAGCAGATGATTGTAGGAAGTTATGTTTATAATTCATTGACGTTGAGACTATTAAACGTTACGTGCAATACATTGATGTCAAGAATATAGAGATTTCTAGAAGGCGGACAGATGATTAAGTGATAAACCTGAAAATAGTGTAAGATGAGCAGAAACAGCAAACAGACAATAGTAGAAGAGAATAAAGTAAGGAAAAGTTTGGTGTGTAGTTAACTACCGTAGAAGTGATAGGCCTAACGATTGACATAGGCCTAATGTTTGATATGTTAGAGTAAGACTAACAGTAGAAAAGGAGATAAGAAGAAGAATTATTCCGTCAAAGCATAGTTCTAAAATAATTAAATCAGCCTGAGTGCACTTTGACAAAAGGAACAGAGGATATTTAGCAGAAAGAAGACCAAACGATTATGGTAACTCGCACCACAATTGTAAATGAATCACATACAGAATACTAGTGTGATAGTAATAGAGAAGACAGTTTGGCTTGTCAATTGAAATTCTAAAGTAATTGAATAGTCCTATGTGGATATTTGAGAAGAAAACTATATAAGTAGTGTTTATGATATGCCTATAATCTCTATAGTGTGAATAATTTGTTATACCTATGTTTAATATTTTCTGAATATATTTGTGTGCTATTATCACAGACATTATCCATTATGACAATAAATTGACAACCTGGACTGATAACAGTAGTGCGATTTAAAAGCAAGTGAAGTGCGTGCTGTTTATTCATTGTTGAATTTATCACCAAGTCACAGACACCTACTGTAGAAGAATCATAAGCCCAACAACGACATAGTATAAATTTGTACTATTAAGAAATATAAGTAAAGGCATTTTATTTTGACAATGGGTGAAAAAGAAGAATATATATTTTAAATTCTGACAATCTTCACAAAATTTTCAAGCTTTTAGTAAACATTACAAGTCTTTTGTAGTCAAGAAATCACAATTTTTAAGTATTTTTACTAAAAATTTGTAGTTGAACATATGGAGTTAGTGTTGACTGCACTGAATGCAAAGATAAATCATTTTGAGATTAATAATACTTTTCTTTATCTGAAAGTTTCAAATTTCATTTGCATAATGTTTAAAATCTCCTGAATAAATGTTTTTTTCCCAGAAAAACTTGATCTTACCTGTTATTTTCTCTACTCTAATTCTATATGGTGTCGGTTAATTTGACAGACCTTGTAACCACCATAAAACTTTAAAGGTTGAAAAACATGAAATAAAATAAGTAATACTTTTTAGTTCCAAAGTACTTCCCCTAACCTTTTCACATCCATTTCCTGTGTTTATTTTACTGTTAGCAGCTGAAGTATAAAGCTGCCAGACATAAAGCAAAGAATTACTGCTCCTGAGATTAGACTGTTTATGTGACACTGTCAATAGAAATAGCTCATGAGGTGCAATGACTAGAACTTTTCAACAAAGTTTTTCATAATCCGGGCCCAGAAAACCCAGTGGGAGAGGATTTATTGGCTTGTTTACAGTATAGTGGTTGTAGTGAGAATTTTCTAAAGTAATAAAAGTGTGAGAAAGAGTTTGATATGGCTCTGGACAAAGTTCAGGATGATCCAATAAACTTCCTACTGGATGGTTGGAATTTAGCAGTGCAAATGTACAAAATGTGTATATGCTTATGAACATGTGTATATATATATTATTACTAGTTACTCAAATGCAGCATTTTCAGTTATTTTTTTAAAAATATAGAACAATAAATAAAAATAATATAGAAAAACAGTGATTTCTAGTACTTATGATGTTAAGAAATTGATTTGTCTTCATGCATTGTACTTGTTGAGCCTCACCGTCAGCTTCGTTTATTCTCAAGTAGATTAGGGAGACAAATTAACAAATTAATTTTTGTAGATTTCAAAGATGCATTTTAGAAAACCAAAAAATTATCCAATGACTCTACTGGTACACATAAAACCACTGTAATTTATCTGGCTTTCTAATTAAGCTATACATGGGTTAAGAAAGTCTCAAAATTTCCAGTTAAATTACAAGTTTTCCCTTCAAGCCAATTGTAAATGACTGATAGATTTATGTAATTTGGAATGTGCTATTTTTGTTGGATATAATCATGTACTTAAGAAAAATAGGCACGAGTAGACAAGAGGTTTAGAAAAAATGGAGTAGTGGGCAGGGCTACCCTAGTAGGTTTGCCAAATGTGTTGATATCTCAGCAAATCAAAAAAGGTGGAGGTTTTTATTTTACATTCTAGCTAGTAAATGTCTGAAATTTGAGTTTCTCATTTGTTGACCACTGCAGACTTTGTATGGTAGGTATCATATATATAGAACAATAAGACATGGCATATGGCATAAAAAAAGCATATCTAGCATTTTTTTATATTGTCTTTCAACTTAATAAGAATTTAAAACATATACAGTATTTATAATGGCTGGAGACGGCTTAAATGGGTAATGAAGAAAAACTTT